CCCCCCCCCCCGGGATGGACTACAATCTCAATACAAATCAGTAAACTAAGCATGAGATTGTAGTCCATCACAGGAGTGAGCTTGGAGCGGTGACTACTGTGACTACACAAATAAGATACATTGTTGCTCAGAGTTCAGGGACTTGAATAGATTTGTATATATTATTATAATGCGCACTCTGTAGATTTAGTGGATTAGTGGGATACATCCCTTATTAGATTTTAAACATTTATTTTTGATGGTAAATTCTTCCAAACATGAGACCAGAGAACTCGCTGCATGGGTTACATTTTAGTGAATTGACGTTGTTTTGCCAGCGCTCACCTCTGATGAAAGCATACCATATTCCGGGCCAAGAAGTGCATCCTCCATACAGTTCTTACAGAGTCCACTAAGGGCCGGTGACACCTTAAAGTGACATTAAACCCTCAGATTTTTTAACATAAACCAATACTGTAATGTGTGCCTTACTGTAATCCATGGTAGTTTCCCTTCTCTTTGCTGCTCTTCCTTTTAAATCCGTATCTGTTCTCATGCTCTGCAGAACTTCTGTTTTGCAGCAGACTGCCTTGTCTCTGGAATGGATACACAGTGTCTGTGTGTAGCTTCACAACCTGAGCCAGCACTACAGGAAGAGGCCCTCAGCTGCAAAGGGAAGTTCTCCCCCAGCATGAGAAGTGATACAGATTTAAAAGGAAGAGCAGCAAAGAGAAGGGAAACTACCATGGATTACAGGAAGGCGCACATTACAGTATTGGTTTATGTTAAAAAATCTGAGGGTTTCATGTCACTTTAGGTACCCAGTACTAGAGCAACCTTCTCAACCGGGGTTCCTCAAGCAGTTACAAAGTATTTGAGGTTGAATAATGACATCTCCATCAAGTTCAACATATTGCGTGTATGTATGTGATTCTGCATACAAATCAGTAAACTAAACGTGAGATTGTAGTCCATCCCGGGAGTTTTTTTTTTAAAGTTTCTATTCAGGATATAGAATAATTGTTTGCAGGGAAACCAACAATGATGTCATAGTATAAAATAACATATGGCTGTTAATAATAAATCATAATAAATGTCATCGTTCATCTTTCTTTACCGAGTAGCGAACCACAATGTTCATCACTTGCTTGTCCCCCCCACCCCCACCCCCATATACACATAGATAGGCCGCCACCAACCTTGTGGAACTTTCTCTCTCCCTTGTCCATGGGGTCTTCCATCTCGGCGCAGGGGTAGAACCCAGGGAAAGGGGTGAACGGGTTGACTTTCGGCCGGCAGGAGCCGGAGAACGTCCCCATTAAACTGGTAATGCTGCGTAGTGATGACACGACTTGGGGCGAGAGGGAGGGGTCCACCAACAGGTCGGAGACCATGTTTCGGGCCTCGTTCAGCACGGAGAGGTCAACGCCGTTCCCTCCACCAGCGTTCTGCAACGACAGAGCAAAAAACATAGAAGAACGCAGCCAACTACATACAATACAATCCACAAAGAGAGAAGAGATACAAAGTAACAACAAACATCAATCTAGATACATCACTGAAAATAATGTCTCACCGCACAGAACCCAAAATTTACATTTATGCTCAAGGGGAGCAAAGAAAGACAAATCATTTATACATCAGGTGAATGGCTCTATATTTAGGATGTATCCGGGTCTATAAATGGCGGCTCTGGAGGGACAGTTGGATAGATGGCTCTATATTTAGGATGTACCCGGTCTATAAATGGCGGCTCTGGATGGACAGTTGGATAAATGGCTCTATATTTAGGATGTATCCGGTCTATAAATGGCGGCTCTGGATGGACAGTTGGATAAATGGCTCTATATTTAGGATGTATCCGGTCTATAAATGGCGGCTCTGGATGGACAGTTGGATAAATGGCTCTATATTTAGGATGTATCCGGTCTATAAATGGCGGCTCTGGATGGACAGATGAACTCTGGGGCAGAAAGGAATAGTTTGCAAGGCTCCACTTTTATTTTTGTGTGATGGAAGGGAGGTAAATAGATTGAGGGGAATTTATCTATACTGGAGCAGCCTGGCAACCAATCAGCTTCTCTCTCCAGTTTGTTCAGTTAAGATTTGAAAATGAAAGAGAGAAGCTGATTGGTTGCCGGGCACAGCCGCTCCATATTTTCTCTGCTCCAGCTTTGATAAATTCCCCCCATTGTGTTTTATTAAAGCCGATCTTCCCTGAATTGGACGCTGTGAATAGATTTCATTCAGTGGCAGTACCTGATACTGAGGCTTGTACCATTGCTTCAAATCCCAATCCCAAAGGATCATCTGAAACAATAAAAAAACAAAACAAGAAAAAATGTTATAAAATACATAAATACAGATACAAGTGACATAAATACAGAAAAGATTTGTGTGTTTACAGGACAGGAAGTGAGGGGACGTCTCCCCCAATAGGACACCAACAAGAAACCAGAACAGGGGGTATTAACCCTTTCATTGCTCCGGCCATACTTCATATTAAAAGGAGAACTATGAGGGGGGGAGGGGGAGGGGCTTTTCACTCACCTCATAGTTCTAGCCGACCTGTGACAATGAGACTGTCACAGGTCGGCTCAGTAGATCGGGAGGTGAGAGAACACATACCGGCGTTCGCTCACCTCTCGATCCTGTCACGGCTCTCTGCCGTGACAGGGGGAGGGGCTGGATTCCCCCCTCCCCGCTCCGATCCTCCAGCGCTGACTGGCAGAACGGACGGGGGAGGGGGCGGGCTCTGCCTCCAGATAGGAGGAGCCAGCTGTCACTCACGCAGCTGGGCGGATCTCAACAGTAATGTCGGGATCCGTCCCGGCTGCGGCGTCTCAGTATACCGTGAGCTGTAGCTCCCTATATACTGAGCCTAGGGTGATGGGAGGACGCTAGTTTATGTCCCCCCGTGACCCTGAGGAGAACTATGGGGAAATGCGCTGACCACATAGTCCTCCTCTAAAGGGTAAACCCAATTCTACAGGCAAAATTAGAAAATTGGAATTCCCCCCACAAATCTGCGCGTCACCTGACCAATGAGAAGCGCTTCTTAGGAGATTGGCGGGGGGGGGTTGTAATTCCATACTCCCAAATTCGCCCGGGAAAGTGGAATTGCCCTTTAACCAAACAAACTGAAAGGAGAAGCCGATTGGTCCCGATCCTGTCTGCTGCGGTCTTCATCATTTCCCCCTTTGCACCAAGCCCAATGGTATGATTTCTCACACGAGTGCGCGTGGTGCTGCGAGATGCGTTGGGCTGTCATGAACGGTGAATGGCACTGCAGCGCATCTTACGAAGTGACATGCGTTTTGGCGTGCTGTGACATTCGTGCGCGTCGCCACAACGCACAGATGTTTCCGGGGCCTTTTATACCTTCAGTTCTAACACGTTTTTCAATCCCAACAGATCTTCATTATACAGCCGACTGGATTTCTGGCAGAACAATTGGTATTTTTCTGAGTTTTAAAGGGATAAATTAAAAACCGGCTGCCATCCTTACAGCACTGCGGAAAGCCATCGCAGTTCTATCTACGTCCCTATTGGAGGAAAACATTCTGAGGAACTACAAGTCACAGCACACCCCGCCAGGTAGGTTAAGATGATCGCACACCATCACACGAGGATACCAAACAGGGAGATGATGGAGCCCAATTGACTGAGATCATATTACTGAACTCTGAAATGGAAAGTTACCAGCAAACCGGCAGAAAAAGGTCACAAAGATGAAGAACAGTAGAAAGGCGTCATGGCGCACTCACAAACCAGCATGGAAAACAACTTGTCTCACCACTAAGGACAATGACAGAGGTTTGGATACACGTCCTCTGCAGAGGATGTGAAAGCCGCACTGCCGCGCCAAGGCACCTCTTATAGTGCGGTCCTAACTCTAAACTATGAGAGTCTCCATCTTGGAGCACATGGGGGCAGAAGATTTCAAATTGGGTGCAGGCCTGTCAGGAGGATGCCCCACCTCCTTAAAGGTACAGAAACACACAAGGGATCCCGCACATTTAAGGAGGCTGACAAACCTGCACCCAATTTGATATCTTCTGCCCCCATGTGCTTCAAGATGGAGACTCTCATAGTTTAGAGTTAGGACCGCACTATAAGAGGTGCCTTGGCGCGGCAGTGCGGCTTTCACATCCTCTGCAGAAGACGTGTATCCAAACCTCTGTCATTGTCCTTAGTGGTGAGACAAGTTGTTTTACATGCTGGTTTGTGAGTGTGCCATGATGCCTTTCTGCTGTTTTACTGTTCAAAGCCCATTTCGTGTGCACCTTACTGTATAACTGGTAACAAATTGTTGTGTGCGTTTGTCTTGCTTGACAAAGATGAAGAAAACTTTGAAAAAGGCGAAAAAGAGGAAAAACGGAAAGAAAAAAGTCAATGAAGAGAAATTTCTTCTGCAGCTTCTCAGGTGGTGTGAACGGGTCCCTCAAGCACAAATTCTGTTCCTAATATTATCCCCTCATTAACCCTTAAATGACACTAATTAGTCTAATTATCTCCTTCTTCCCCTCCTCCACTTAACTAGTTTCCTGATTTTTTTATTGTATTTTTCTTTTCTTTTTAACTTTTCAAAGTATTTTATTGATTTTTAACAATTTTTACAAAGAAATAAAAAAGATGTAACATTGATACATAAGCGTTCACATAGACATATGTATACATTAAGGTCTTATGCACGTACATTCAAAAGTGTAATAAAACTGAACTGACAGTCCTGGGACAACCCCTATGGTATCCGATCAATCGAAATGGTAATGTATACACATAACAACTCTAGGTGACTGTCCGAAGAACTCAATGAAACAAGAAGATCCAACGGATCTTAAGGTGGGTCTGGGGGAACTGATCAAAGAGGGGGAGACAGTGGGTAGGGGAAAGAGTGAGGGAGGGGGAGAAGTATTTTTCTAACCATTAAATGTTTTTCTCTTTTTTTTTATGTTGTTTGTAAATGTTTTTCAGTGTTGCATAAAAACCCCCCAAAATAACAAACATTGAAAAGTCTTTATTTTATATGTAAATACCTTTGAAATGGTTTGTACCAAAATCATAATGTTTGTGTCACTTTAAATTGGGCAAATGCCAGAATAAAACGAATACATTTGTGATGCAAAGTAATAATAATTTTTAACTAAACTTATCTAAGCAGAAAAGTGTTTGTTTGTTTTAATTTGTTGTCTAAGGATTGCACAAAAAAATCGAATCATTTCTGCAAGATGAAATACCCCAAAGAAAGTCTCAGTTATCCTAAAAAACAGCAACGTATGTGTGGCTTATATCGCGGCGGAAATCGCGCGACAATTCGCTATATGTGAACGGGGCCTTATAGGAAGGGGGCGGGATTATCCATTCCTTCAAATGATTGGTTCCTGTGACTCAGCTGACCAGGGGCTGTGCGCAGCATTTTAGGTCGCTAACGAATCTATGAACTTCAGCAAACCTGAACCGCATCTCTACTCCTCCCCCGATGCCACTAATGGATGAACAGCAAAAACAACTCTGTAAACGGCTTCACGCGACGGCGATGACATCATCGCGGCAACATTTTAGTTAGGGTTGCCACCTGTCCAGGATTCACCCGGACAGTTCGGGTTTGGAATGCCGTGTTCGGGTTTCATGGCAGCAGAAACCCGGACACAAGATGTCAGGCAGACAGGGGCAACCAAAATTAGGATAGGGGCTACTGGGGCCCCCACTGAAAATAGTCACAATTGTGATATTTACATATAAATAAGCCGCGACTCATTCTCCCCCCAAAAAATGTCAGCGCGTCGCTAGAGTGTTCGGGTTTCACTTGAAGAAAAGGTGGCGACCCTAATTTTAGTCATTACGTTACAATTAAAGTGTAAAATGTAGCAAATGAAGCTGCACGAGTCACATATTGGGATGAAGACGGGAGCTCGGAGTCCTGGATCAAACCTCTTCCCTCCCCCATCTACAAGGGGCAAAGGATATTAATTCCCCAGAAGGCTGAACCATCCCGGTGCCCCATTGCTGGTGGCAGACAAGCACAATCAGCAGGGTGCATGCTGGGAAATGCGGCATTCTGGGATCACACGGCAGATCTGTGACATGCACACAGACCGCAGAGGTGTCAGGAGACTTCCGTGGTGAAACTCGCAGATGTTATCTGTCTCAGTGACGTCAATGCAGCCACATTATTGCTGTAGAGGGAAGAGAACCTACACTATGGCGAAGTCTGTCCCCTCCGAATGACTGAGCTCAGCTCCTCGAAGGGCCCGAGCACCGCCAAACAGGGGCCCGGGAACAGTCCAATGCAGGAGGGCCGCGTAAGACACGAGGGGCCCATTCACATGCCTGCATTGTGGTAATACATGTGACATGCATTGGTGCCGTTCATTCGCAGTGCCCCTCCCCCCTCATGCTAGCGATGCTGCGTGTGATTTCTGGTCCATCGTCCGGCAGCTCATTCGGATGAATTGGTCGCAATAACACAACGCAGGTTACAATGTGACACAATGCGAGTTATGTGCGTGCATTCTACGTGCTGCAGCGGACCGGGCCAATGTGATTGGGTCCTAATAATGATGTCTGACTGGCAGGTAAGATATGGACAGAGGAATAGAGACGTCATTTCTACAAAACCTCCGCGCTCCAAGACCCAGAACAGGACTTAAAGTGACACAAAACTCCGGAGATAAACCCTAAAAATCCCTCCGAGTCCCTGAACTCTGAGCAACAATGTATCTGATTTGTGTCACTCGGCTGGAGATCCTCCAATCATCTCTGACACTGTCCTTCCTTCTGGAGGGGGGCTACGTCTGTTCCCCATGGTCCCTGTGTGTGTTGTAAAGTAGTCACCGCTCCAAGCTTATTATAAACATTTCAGGTCACAGTGTAAATTCTCTGCACCTCCCAATCAACTGTCATTCTGCAGCTGCTGGAACATGTAGAGGAGAAGGAAGGGGTTGTAGGTACAGAAGGGTCGCTCCTCTAAGCCGCGTGTAATAGAACTCCATACAAAACAAGTCATAAATCATATTCTGGCTCTTGAACTATCCACAGTATCCAATCAGGTCACGTTGCTCAGTTATGAGGATTATATGGCGGGAAGAAGCAAAAGTGACAATGAATAAAACAAAGAATTTTACAGACGGAGGTCAGATAGAAGACTGAAGGGAAGGACGGAGGTCAGATAGAAGACTGAAGGGAAGGACGGAGGTCAGATAGAAGACTGAAGGGGAGGATGGAGGTCAGATATAAGACTGAGGGAAGGACGGAGGTCAGATAGAAGACTGAAGGGAAGGACGGAGGTCAGATAGAAGACTGAAGGG